TCAGACTCTTAACGACTGTTTACACTTTCACAGTTGACCCCGAGGCCCCATCCAACAGGGTGGAGCTGAAGTAGCGTTTTTCTTTCACACCTAGAGTATATATCTGCTGTACTCCCAACCACCAGTTAGAACTGATGAAGCCCCTTGGATGAGAGGTGAAACGTCTTCTTTTAGAAAATTCACGTCCAGTTGCCTAACAGAACCTTTTTAAACTACTAAAGTGATATCTATCTAGTTCATAAACAGCATTTTAACAGCTCCTGTATAATCAACTTGCGCTTCACAGGGCTCGCACTGCTCTCAACTTTCGCTACCGTTCTCTCTTTAGCACATTTATGTACACAGCCATTCACAGACCTACGCTATTAGTACAACACAGAGTAGTCTACCAGAAAAGTAATTGATCGCTAGTGGTATGAACTTCGTTAGTCCATAAAAAGCTGCATCATTGTTTAAGTTGCAGGGTTCAAAGTGTGTGAAAATAGTAGTGGCTTGTAGTCTGGAAATTACAGTATACGTATAATATAAAAACTCTCTCCTCTACTTTGAAATTTTTCCCATTTGACGATGGGTCTTGGAACATAACTCCCGCGATAGGAGAGGGACCACTGTATATTCTCCTTTTTCTTTTCAAGAAAAAAACAATGTAAAATGTGGTGGTGGTGTGGATTATATGCTATTTAAATAACAAAATATTCGTGATACCAGTTTAAATGAAAAAAACAATAAAATTAATTATTGTTATTTATTAAAAAAAACAAACATTTCCAATCAGTGCTAATATAAATGATCAACTTTGTACTTTTGCACATTTTACATTAACTTCTTATGATTCTGAACTATTCCTTAACATTATGTGCTTGTATGATGTACTAACACTCTTATTAATACGTGACTTTGTTGCGTAGAGATTACCATTACACTCAGTTTCCACCCTTAAAGCCATTTCTAAAAAAGTTATGTCATCTTTGACTAGTACTGCACACATTAGATTGCCTAGAATATTCACTCGCCTGCCTTGACTCCCATATGAACTTAAATTAAATCCCTTTCCTAATCCATACCTTAAGAGCAGCTTTAACTTTTGGATGGGTGACTGAATTCTTCTGGCATTATAGTGTACAATGTACAAGATCTAATCCTGATCTGACTCTTTAACACATCGAATTCCCAACAACCTTCTATATTCATCTGACTTGGTTCACATTCAACTTTTTAGAAACTTTAATCTGTCTGTCAATTATATCTCCAGCAGGATGAGTAGAGTGGATAGACAGTTAACCCCAAAAACAGCAGCAGTGCCTCCAAACCAAGATGGATTGGCTTTCCCATACAGCTTGATCTCTGGTATTGTGTTGCTGATGAAGGTGGTATAACTGGTCACTCTGGTATATACACCGGGCTGGTTTTTCTGAGCACAACCTTGTCCAAAGCTTACCACTCCAGCCTGCACCCAAGTTCCATTTATCATCTGGCACACGAGAGGCCCTCCTGAATCACCCTGAAATATAAAAAAGTACCTATTGAGGTTTTCATGCTTAGACAGTAGGAGTATAACGATGCATCAGGAATCAATGAGTGGAGGAGGAATGATTGATAAAGGATGAAAGAAGACATGATAGAGAGAAGAGGAGTAGATATTTTGTGTTCAGGTTGAAGAGTTCCGTTAAGCAACTGGATGTCTTCAATTTCTTCAAATAAAACATTTCACCTCTCATCCAAGAGGCTTTTTCAGTTCCTCTTGGATGAGAGGTGAAACGTCTTCATGTCCAGTTGCCGAACGGAACTCTTCAACCATAATGGAAATAGTTTGCAACCACAATACCTGACAGGAATCCTTGCCTCCCTCTTGGAAACCAGCACAGATCATGTCAGACAGGATGTCCACCTGCTCCGCTGGGTTTGTCTGATACATGTTCCTACACCTATCCTGGGAAATAAGTGGAACTTGGACTTCCTGCAAAGTCCCGATACCTGGCAGAGGGACTGATCATGACACAAAGAATGGAAAATCAACAACAAAATAAGTGATTAAAATCCCACCCTCCCTTAATACATCTATTTTTGTTTAATTCGATGTTTGGATGAGATGAGAAGCATATATTAGAAAAGGTGCCAGTATGTGGTTCCTAGAGGAATCACATACTGGCACCAAAAACTCTGGCACCAAGAACTCTCTGCTTGCAAGACAGGTGTGCTAACCACTACACTATGGAACCACCAAGGTAGGAAAGACAATCTTAAGATCATTTAGAAATATATATATAAATAATAAAATACTTTTAACAAAAGTGTTTTTATCCGTGATAGCTACCAGTCTGATATTAAGATTAGATATCCTTTCCAATATTAACTAAATATCTAGATTATCTCGAATATCTAGACTTTCTGCTCTCCGCTTCTGAGGAAGGCGTGGTAACCGCTACACTACAGAACAGACAAACAAAAGTAGCAACCTTTCACAGAAAAAGTCCTACATCCAGGCTAGATTATGCTTACTTTAAACGTAAACCATAAGTAAGTAAGTCATATCGTCAAAAGTTCATGCCACAGTTTCAGTAGAATTCAGGTTGTCCTACCATCTTGACGAATGTGTCCCCAGCCGGTAACTGAGCATATCATTTCACTAGGGAACAGTGCACTGGATGCAGGTAAGCACACAGGTTGGATGTGATCTGACCATCTTAATGGGGGATTCAGCTGCACCAGAGCCACATCCTTGCCTTGGTGGGGTTCAGTGTATCCAGATGGGATCACCACCTGCAATACACGATGCATTGTCTGGTGCTGGTTAAAGCCATTCAACTGGTACCTACCAGCATAGATGGTAATAGAGTCCAACGCCGATGGACTTAAGGAGATAAAGGGAAAGAAACAATGTTTGAATTAAGCACATTTATACATTTAATAATTAATTCAACTGAAATCATGCACAAAATGTGTGATTTTGTAAACATGGATTTATCAAACTAAGAAGTTTCCTAGTGTCCTAAGAAATTAATTTGGTGAATTTTTTTAATTTTTTAAAATTCAATTTGCAGGGAAGTAGGAGGTTAACAACATCAATTTAATTTAACTCTTCCTAGTTTAATTGGTTTATTAGTTTAAACAAAGTTATGAGTCATATAAACATACATTTCTTCATTAAATTTGTGTAGGTGTGATACACCATCTTAACCATGATAGAATTACAACAGGATTTCAAAGATAAGTGAAAGAAATATAATGATTCTTCTTTATTTTGTGACTGTTTACAATGACAATTTTTGTGCCATTTAACATAACGTAATTTCCAAACTATAAGCCGCTACCTTTTTCCAACACTTTGAACCCCGTGGCTTAAACAATAATGCAGCTAATATATGGATTTTTACAGGCAACAAAGTTCATACCGCTAGTGATACATGACTTTTCTGGTAGGCTGGTAGACTTTTCTGTCTGGGAATGGCTGTGTGTGTATATGTGCATCAGGCGCATGAGAGAGAGAGAGCAGGAGGGAAAGTTGTGTGTGACATTGTTCGGAGAGCCAATTGGACAAATTGTTTTTATCTAAGCTCAGGACAATTGACCTGTGTTCATAAACTTTTTCATGCGTCATGAACTGAGTTAAACACATGCAATGCATCTTGCCTGCAATCTGGTACTGAGCCACAGTCTGTGGATGGCTGAAGTTCTCTTACTTGGGAAAACAGTGAGCAGCTGACAAGACCCAGTTCTCAGTGATGATGGAACCTCCACAGACGTGTCCCTCAGCAACAGTCTGCAAGCCAGGGGAGAGAAGAGTAAATCACCATTATTTCATTATTGACAAGCACCAACACAGCAACTGTATCTTTAATTGAAAGAACTTAAAAAAAGAGGAATATACAACCATTACAATTAAAGTAAAATTACCGTAATTTCCAGACTATTAAACGTGTGGAAGAGAAAAACATCATGAAGACCAGAATAACTGGTATATAGCTGTTGCTATATTTTGACATGTTCAACAGGCCAAATTGATGCCAGAATAACAGGAAGACAGGCACATGCAAGAACAGGTCAAGATGACCTGGGTAAATGAACATGTTTATCCGGTTACTAGCTGAATGTGAGCCAAATATTAGGCAGCATCCTCATGTTGGCGTCTGGAAAGTGTCTGACTATGTTTGGTCAGAATTACAGTCAAATGTGACGTAACACCATGTTTTGTCTATGCCTATAAGAAGGATCAGCATGTATCAGAAGTTGGGATTTGTTGGTGAATGTTCAGATGAGATTCGTTGTTGGACCTGCCCTGGTCAGAAACCTGTAATACAATAAATCCCCCGAGACGGAGAGGTGTGTCCTGCTATGCCTCATTTGTAGACACCTCTTTCTACCATATAATTGGTGACCCCGATGTGATCGCTTGGGCCTGTGGACCGGGGCGGCTGGGCTCCTCCACTGGACCGGCTGTGCAAAGCACGCAACAGGTAGGAACTTTCCCTCCTATTAATGCACATGCTTGTCCATTGCTGGCGTCCAGCCTCATCTGGTAAGCACTGAGGTCCTTGCCAAAATTGAACAAAGGGCAGTAGGGACGTTGCTCTCACCGGCTCGTTAGACTCTGCATGCAGAAACAGCTGCTAAATTAATATAAAAACTGCGCTGTGTAATTGTATATAGTTGGAAACATTGGATTAGGAAGCAGCTATGAGACTGGCCAGAATGGGAAACTCTTAGTAGACTCGGAACTGTATACTGTATGTTAAACTTAAACTTTATCTTTATTAGTCATTAGGCTGTCAGCACAGCACAGCACACCATGCACAACGAAATTTGCCCTCTGCATTTAACCCATCACCAAAGTGAACAGTGGGCAGCCATGGTCGGCGCCCGGGGAGCAGTGCTTGAGGACGATGCCATGCTCAGTGCATCTCAGTGGCAACCTGGCAGTTGGTGGATTCGAACCTGGGGCCTTCCGGACCGAAGTCCGCCTCCTTCACCACTAGGCCACCACTGCCCCAAATGTTGCAGTGGTGTCTGACTGGACAGAGTGATGTGTGAAAATGAGATACAATACAATGGGAAGTATGTGTGTATGAGCCAGCTGGCCGAAGCCCCCGGCAGTGTAAAAAGAGATAAAAGAAGTAAAAATAAAAAAAAGAGACGTGTGGTGAATTAGAAGCCGGACTGGAATTGGGTCTTCCAACGAGGTTGGAATCGACGTATGGAGCTACGCGAGCTTTAGTGTAAAAACGATGTAGGACACGCGTACATGTTGACAGTACAAACTTAGGCTGATCACCTTTGGGACTACAGGGTCAACCCCGGATTTTATGATAATACATGAAAAGGCAATTCACTAGAAATTGAGCAAGACCTTCTGGAGAAACGCACACATACAAGTAAAACAAAAAACGCAGCGCTGGCAACTTGGGGGTCTAAGTAAGGCTCACAAAAGTTATTCCAATTGGCAAAGGAATGGTATAGGGGTCATATAGCTTATGCACACTTGTATAATGATAATTGGTGACAAAATTTTTTTTAAAATAAATTTGTAACTCCGGGACACCCCAGCAGGTGATTAAAGTAGCTGGAGATAGAACAATAATATTTGGCTACTCTGTGGAAAAAGGCTTTTAATCGATGTTGGAAGAAAAAATACTAAAAGTGTGGAAAAATATGTAAATAGTGTTCGAAGAAAATATATCAAAAGTGTAAAATTCTGTGGTATAAGTTTTGAATCTATTTGACTGGTCTCCCCGACTGATCTCTCTCTCTTTTCACTTGACTCAACTGACTAAGACTGTGTGTTTGAATGAGTGCCTAAATGTTCGTGTGTGAGTGTGACATATAATTTAACAATGCTGAAGTTTTAAAAAGTGAAGATTTGTTTTCTATTTCTGATATCTGTGGCTTATATTTGTGTTTGATATTTGTGGCTGATATTTGATTCTGATATCTGTTTTAACAAGCTGCAGTTTTAAAAGTGAAGATTTTCGGTGTAAGAATAAGTTCATAGTAGTGCATTAATTTAATTGTGCCTTTGAAACTGCATTATAACTGTTTTTTTTTTAAGACAAAGTAAAAGAGAGCTTGAGTTGAAAATTCTAAATTGGTTCACAAACGAAGGCCAAAAATACCAGAACAAACTTAGAGAAAGTATAATAAATAGTCAAATGAGGAAAAATGTTGGTCAGCTAACTGCAGGGATATATCCCAGGTTAGCTGGCTCATTTAAATTTACAGGAGATTTTGATATACTTACAGAAGAAACAGCGAATTCAGCAAGGGCTGCACAGATTCCTCCACCTTATGAGATTGCTAATATGGACAAGGTGAATGAAACAATCACACACCAAAATTCACAAGCTTGGTCAACCAAGAGTACAATACCGCACTGATTGGGTGAAATTAGTATTCAATATAATGAAAATAAAGATAGAACACCGACAAATGATGAACCAGGCATGCTTACAAAATACTGCAGCACCGGGAGGAAACCATCCATACTAGACTGCTACAAAGATTTGAACAGGAGCAAAGCAGGACAATCTTATTGGCTAAATTTAGATCCGACCGGCATTGACCTACACAGAGAACTAAGTCGATCTCAGATAGATAGTCGATAGTCGAAAGTCGATAAATAGCACAAAGAGCATTTGAAGAAGAAACTGTGGGCAAAATGTTGGCCCTGGGTGACATTAAGGCCATATGGGCTAGAAGCTTTGGAGCCCTAGCCATGGAAAACCTTTTCAGACACAGCAGCAATGAATGGATGTGGAACTGAGTTCAACACATATCGTACCATGCTGTGGACAGTGTTGCGGGATGAGTACCCAATGATCCAAAGGCTCTCAGGGGGAGGCACTGTTAGAGAATGAAAATCCTGCCACATACATTACCCGACAGCTGAAGCGCTGGAAGCAGGAAACTGAGGAGGAGATTAAAAAAAGTCCAGTATTGATGACATTGTTCAGTAATGCTATTGTGGAAGCAATGCCAGACCCCGTCCAGAGTAGACTGGAAGAGGTGGTAGGCCTGTCACCAATGCCACATCAACAATTTCGTGACAACATCGTACATGCCATAGAAAAGTATCGAAAGGACGAAGAAAAAGTGGGCCAGATGGACAAAAACCTGCAGCGTAAAACTGACACAACTACAGTTAAACGAGTTGCAAGGAAAGTATGCATAACATATCAAAAACTGGCGCTGAATGTCAAATGGCTCTTTGAAAGCACAACTTCCAAGAGCAAAAGAACCAACATTAGACTATCACAATGTTTTACGATGTAAATAAAAGTAAGGAGTTTGAAAGAAAATGGACCACAGAAAGGACCAAAGTTGAATTGGTCACACAGTACATCATTGTCGGTGAACCAGGTGCTGCTCTCAATGTGGAAACAAATTATTTTATCTCTAAATGGTACAATGTGCCAGACTCAGCGCCTCACATCACCTTGTTAGTAAACAGCAAGGCTAAAGCTAGAGACTTGGGTCCCATGATGAAGGATGCAGAAAGAGCAGAATGGGAAGCAACAGACAATCCATTAATATTCCAAACACGGGGATCAACAATTTGTTACTTTGTGCACCCACATTGGAAGGCTGTCATAGTGACTATAAAAATCCTCCAAAGGTTGGCAGAAGGAGTACATAGAGTTTCAAAATCAAAACTCCAGTATTGTAAAGCACAAGTAGAGTATTTGGGACGAAAAATCTCGCATGGGACTATAGCTATTTCGCCTTCCCAGCTGGAAGGTATAGCCAAAGCCCTAAACCACGCACTGTGGGAGAAATGATGACAATTTTTGGGATAGAGGAGTATGCAGAGAAAACTGCTCCATTACAGGAACTGATGAAACAAGCAGACACTCAAGTTTTAAAGGCTCCACTAAAGTGGACCACAGAAGCAAGCATAGCTTTTGAAACATTGAAAGCAGACATGCAAAATGCACCGACATTGGCAATCCCCGATTATAAAAAAAACGTTATTTTTGTATGTAGCTAACAAACATCGGCAGTGCTAATACAAGAGACGTGTTGTGGTCGGAAGAAACAACCAGTGGCATATTACAGCATAAAGTTAGATAATGTGGTGCAGGGTTGGCCACCGTGTTATCAAGGCTTAGCTGCAGTACATTACGCATGTGAAAAAGCTACAACAGTGACTATGGGGTATCCAGTTACCATTCTGACACATCACAAAATTGTTGAATTGGTGAACCAAGGTAAATTTGTGATAACTCAAG